TGTACCACATTTTCTTTATCCAGTCTACGATTGATGGGCATTTAGGTTAATTCCATGTCTTTGCTATTGTGAATAGTGCCGCAGTAAACATATGTGTGCATGTGTCTTTGTAGTAGAATGATTTATATTCCTTTAGATATATACACAGTAATGGGATTGCTGTGTCAAATTGTATTTCTGCCTCTAGATCTTTGAGGAATCACCACACTGTCTTCCACAGTGGTTGAACTAATTTAACTCCCACCAGCAGTATTAAAGGGTTCCTTTTTCTCCATAACCTCGCCAGCATCTGTTGTTTTCTTTTTAATAGTCACCGTTCTGACTGGTGTGAGACGGTGTCTCATTGTGGTTTTGATTTGCATTTTTCTAATGACCAGTGATGTTGAGCTTTTTTTCATATGTTGGCCCCATGAATGTCTTCTTTTGAGAAATGTCTGTTCATGTCCTTTGCCTACTTTTTAATGACATTGTTTTTTCTTGTAAATTAGTTTAAGTTCCTTGTAGACTTTTGTCAGATGGAGAGATTGCAAAAATTTTCTCCCATTTTGTAGGTTGTCTGTTCACTCTGCGGATAGTTTCTTTTGCTGTGCAGAAGCTCTTTAGTTTAATTAGATCTCATTTGTCAATTTTTGTTTTTGTTGCAATTGCTTTTGTAGTTTTTGTCATGAAATCTTTGCCCGTGCCTATACCCTGAATGGTATTGCCTAGGTTTTCTTCTACAGTTTTTATAGTTTTGGGTTTTACATTTAAAGGACCATACTTTTCTAATTGGAGAAGTTAGGATTGATTGACTTTAGTTTTTCTGCCCATTAATATGAGATATTGGGCATGGGGGAACAAGCATTTGGAAAAGAGAATTTGTGATTATTTTAGTGACAAAAGATTATAATGGAGATTTTAAAAATACAAGAAAATGCTCTTAATCCCTCTGTGCAGAAATAATCCCTATTAACATTTTGATATATTTTCATCTTATTTTAAAATAGGAAGTTCGTGTTATATTGTATATACAGTTTTGTTTCATAACTTGTTTTTATCACTTGTCTTAGCTTCCTCATTACATATTCTTTTAGAACTTTTAAATAGCTGTAGTGTATACTCTCCTACAGCTGTATCAGTTTAACCATTTCCTCTGTTGTGTTGGACATTTGGGGTTATTTGTAACCCTTTGCTTTTGTAAATAAAGCTGTAGTGAGCATTCTTGGCATATATACATTTGCAGATATCTTGGATTATTTCCATAGGATATTTTAAAAAACCAGATATTCATAGTACATGGGGTATAAATACTTCTGTGGCTCTTGGAACATAATGCCAAACTGTGCTGCAGGATTGCTATATGTACTAGTTTATAATCCCCACTTTTCAGTGTGTGAGAATATCTATTTTACCACATCTTTTTCAAAATGTGGTAATCCTATGATAATCATTTTAAAAATAATTAGGTAAAATATGCATTTCTTTGATTACTAATGAGGTTGAGATTTTTTGTATGTTTATTTTTCTTTTGTATGTTATAAGCTGCCTGTTCAGAGATTTTTAAAATGCAGTTTCTTTTCAGTAACATGTTTATCTGATAATTTTGTATTGATTTGTACCTGGTGAAATATATTAACTAATTGTTGTATATGTTGCTTATTAGATTTTGCCATCTAATCTTGATTATGAATGCTTTATATAATCAAATTTCTAAATTTTTATGTCGTCAAATATATTACCTTTTCATTATGATTTCTCTCCCCTCAACTTTTCTGAATGTTTCGAGTGACTTTTCTTCATGCCAAGATCAGATAATGCCCTATAGTCTATAGAGTGTATTTTAGTGTCTTTATAGTTGTTTTTTGTCTTGTCTTTTTTTTAATATTCAAGTTTTAATCCATTTGGAATTCTGTGGAGATACAGGGATTTTGTTTTTCCTGCCCCAATTTAAATAATTCTCCCAACAGCATTTACTGACAGTTCTTTCTATTTCAACTCACTTGAAATGCTATCTTGATCAATGCTTTAATTTTGATATGCACCACCATTGTATATATTGTGTAAATCCCAATTTTGGTATTGTCAGAGTTTGTTTTTCTGTCTCATGGTTTTGAAATGATATATGATTGTTTTTGCACTTCTTGATTACTAAGGCTGTAACACATCTTTTCACATGTTTATTGACCTCTTTCTATTGCTTGTTCAGATCTTTTGCTAGTTTTTCAGTTAGTTTGTATTTTCATGAATTTGTAACAATTCTTTATATATTCTGGGTAGCAGTTTTCTATTATATGCATTACAACTATTTTTTCCTAGTCTGTGATTTGACTTTTTACTTTTTATAAATTTCAATGTAATTAAATTTGTCAATTTTATATGGTTTGTGTGTTTTCCAGTCTTAATTTGACAGATACTTACTGAGCATCTACTATGTTTCAGGGACTATTTTGGGTACTTGGGATAGGTCGTAAACAAAATACACAATATTTCTAGAGTTCACATTCTAGAAGCTCAAGAAATATTCATAAAAATATTCACATGTATTTTTCCTGAGTGTTTAAGTTTTGCTTTTTCAGTTTTAGATCATTAATCTACCTAGAATTCATTTTTTGTAGGATGTGAAGTACGAGTAACCAGTTATCCAAGTACCGTTTATTGATTAACATATTGTTTCTTCACTGTTTTGTAGTGACACCTCTGTTAGGTATCAAGTTTCTGCATTAGTGTGGGTTTGTTTCTGTGTCTATTTTGTTTATTGGTACATTTCTCTGTCCTTGCATCTGTATTACACTCTTAATTACTATGGTTCTATAATAAGCCTTGATATCATAGGTCTTCATCATTTATTTTTTTTCAAAATTGTTTGACCTGTTTTTAGTTCTTGCCGTTTTTTTTTTGTTTTGTTTTTGTTTTGAGATGGATCTCACTCTGTAGCCCAAGCTGGGGTGCAGTGGTGTAATCTGGGCTCACTGCAACCTCTGCCTCCTAGGCTCAAGCGATTCTCTTGCCTCAGCCTCCCCAGTAGCTGGGACTACAGGTGCACACCACCATGCCTGTCTAATTTCTTGTATTTTAGTAGAGACGAGGTTTCACCATGTTGCCCAGGGTGGTCTCGAACTCCTGAGCTCAGGTGATCTACCCACCCCGGCCTCCCAAAGGGCTGGGATTACAGATGTGAGCCTCTGTGCCCGGTCAGTTCTTGCCTGTTGTATATGCATTTTAAAATCAGCTGAACTACAGTTACATCTTTGGTTATGCATGGCTTCCTTTTCAGGGCTGCTGTTAGCTGTGTCAGAGTGAAATCCTGCTGTATATTGGTTGTGTCTTCTGGTATTAACAGTTCTTAGGATGCTTGAACCTCCTAGTGCGGTTTCTTTCTTTCTTACATTTTTCTTATTCATGACCTCCTCTTTCCCTCCCTCTTCTCTTTCTTTCTTTCCTTTCTTCTTTTCTGTTACTGTTTTTGTTTCTATTGTTCTTTTCATGTTCCCATCCTTGTTTCTTCTTTTTTCTTATGGTCATTCTAAAGAGTACTTTAAAAATATATTTTTATTAAAGTAGTATATTGTGCATGCGTCGAGGGAAGCAAATAATAAAGAAGCGTATAAAACAACAGGTGCAAGTGCCTCTGATATCAGTTGGCTGAGACTTCCCAGATATTTTATGGGGGCATGTATAAATCTGTGTCTATTGAAGAAAAGGTCATATGCAGACTGTTCTGTAGCTTGCCTTATTTTTTAAATTTAATTTTTATTTTATTATTATTATTATTTTTTGAGATGGAGTCTTGCTCTGTCACCCAGGCTGGAGTGCAGTGGTGCGATCTTGGCTCACTGCAACCTCTGCCTCCTGGGTTCAAGTGATTCTCCTGCCTCAGCCTCCTGAGTAGCTGGGACTGCAGGCGCCTGCTGCCACCACGCCTGGCTAATTTTTGTATTTTTAGTAGAGAGGGGATTTTACCATATTGGCCAGGCTGGTCTCAAACTCCTGACCATGCGATCCACCCGCCTCGGCCTCCCAAAGTATTGGGATCACTGCGCCTGGCCAGCTTGCTTTATTTTATTTAGTATTTTAAAAGACATTCTTCTATAGCTAATTTCTTCTCATGGCTGCATTGTATGTATATACAGTAATTTAACCGGTCCCCCATTGATGGACTTGTAGATGTCTACTTCCTGATCTTGCAGCTTTCAGACACTGCTGATCCTCACTGGCATAGTGGAAATTGGGTAATTTATTTTCTCTCTCCTTAGGCCTTCCCTTTCACTCTTTTCAATTTCGTGGGGTTCTATCAAGAACTTTCCTATATGCTCTTCAGAGCACTGGCATGTAGCTTTCTCAAGAGGGAAGAGTTGGCAGTAAACCTTGGTGTAGTTCTTTTGTCTGGTTCTATCTGTATTTTACTGTTAAAAAACCCACAAAAACTCAAAGTTTTTTTTTTTTTTTTTTTTTTTTTTTTTTTTTTTTTTTTGAGATGGAGTCTTGCTCTGTTGCCCAGGCTGGAGTGCAGTGGTGCAATCTTGGCTCACTGGAACCTCCGCCTCCTGGGTTCAAGCCATTCTCCTGTCTCAGCCTCCTGAGTAGCTGGGATTACAGGTGCCGGCCACCCCGCCTGACTAATTTTTGTATTTTTAGTAGAGATGGGGTTTCACCGTATTGGCCAGGCTGGTCTTGAACTCCTGACTTGAGGTGATGCACCTGCCTTGGCCTCCCAAAGTGCTGGGATTACAGGCGTGGGCCGCCATGCCCAGCCTCTATTACCATATGGTATCCTGGAGGAGAGTGTTTGTTATGTAGTGTTAAAAGTAGCAGCCTGATTGTAGAGTTGAAAAATGAATGAGTTGGAGAAAATGGACATGGAGAATTTAAGCAGCTCTTTGCAACACACTTGACTATGAGAGGGCAGGGAATGAAGAGATGCAGATTTGGGGATTTTTCATTTTATTGGTGTTACACGTTTTGAAAGAAGTTAAAGTTGGGTATCTGTGTTACATAATTTGTCCGTCTCTTAATCCTCCTAGCCTCCACCAGGCAGTGTGAAGATGCCTAATGTACCCAATACACAACCAGCAATAATGAAACCAACAGAGGAACATCCAGCTTATACACAGATTGCAAAGGTTAGTTCATGTTAGTTGTATGAATTCGTATTGGCAGTTATAATATCAATAACATTTACTTTCAGAGCAAAATAATTCTTTATATGGTTACATTTCTGTTGCTTAATTTTTAACTCACTTTCAAGTCTGAATTTGCTGTCTTGTCACCCTGCAAATATTCGTTCCTCTTTGTCAGCTTATACCATTTGTTTTATTCTATTATTAGGAATTATTGAATTTGTGTATCATCTTGGTGTATACATTTTTATTGCCTTTGGTCTCACTTTTTAATGCATACTACCATTAAGGTAAAAATGATGGAATAATAGATATTATTGGGAGAGTGTTATAATGCTAAAGTAATAGTGTTAGGAGGTAGAAGATGGCAAAAATCTGAGAAGAAAGATTAATAAGATGCCTGATAACATGTAAGGGCAAATTGAGTTATAAAGAATTTCTTTTGACCTCATTCTCCTATAACATTTAAGATATTAGAACATATTCTTGCATTGGTGGCCTTATATATCATTTAATCTGATTTATAGGAGCCAATTCTTTTTGTTGCCCTTTTTTCTATTGTTGCCCTTTTTTCTATTGTTCATTTTCCTCAACTGTTCCCATTGCCTCTGTTCTTCATTCATTTAGGCATAGAGGTCATCTTAATTTCATTTTCCAGATTACCTAAGGATTCTGGCTACTTTTACTAAGAGAAATTTTCCTGTCCTAATGGACCCAACATTCCCACTGAGGGTTTTCAGAACCCAAATGAACCAAATATCCCTGTAATATTTTCTGTAACTATGATCTTCAGTAAAATTCCTGTACTTTGGAAGTGTGTTTGAATTAGGTTTCTCTCATAATAGAGAAGTAGGAGTTAGCATATAAATGTTAAAGTATTTTATACTTCTGACAGTCTGTTCACATATTGATATTTTTTATTTAGGAACATGCATTGGCCCAAGCTGAGCTTCTTAAGCGCCAGGAAGAACTAGAAAGAAAAGCCGCAGAATTAGATCGTCGGGAACGAGAAATGCAAAACCTCAGTCAACATGGTAGTATCCAAAGAAGTTTGAAATAAAAATAACTTTTAAACACTTTACATTATGTCTATACTAACTCCTAGGTTATTTAGCCTGTGCATAAAACCCTACCCTGTATTCCTGTTCTAACAAGGAGATCAGACACAGCAGATTGCCTCCTTGATACTCTGTAGCCTTCTAATCTTGGCTGATTTGCGTGGTCTTTTGTTGATAGATTAGAACAGTGTTAGCCTCATCACACACAAAATGAATGTGAATATGATAATTTTTGCTTACTCTGAGGCCAGGAGCCTTTGATTCTGCAGTTAGGCCCTCCTTGATTCTATTGAATCTTTGTGAGTACATTTGCATTTACCCTGCATTTGACTCCTACCTGATTTATTCAGGTCAGTTTCAGATTATCTGCCCCAGTCCTCAAAAGTATTTTGTCAAATCACGTTAGAAAAATTGGAAGCCTAAGGTATTCATATGATGCCAAAGAAATAAGTGGTGAATTGTTTGCAGTGAATTCTATTCAGTTTGTGCCTGCCAAAGCACCTCAAAGGAGTCTCTTAGGGAAAGCTAGCAGTCTCTGAGTAAGAAGAGATAAAAGATCTAGATAAGTCACTGTTAGGATGTCTGGGATGAGCTAGATAAGTCATTGTTAGGATGTCTAGCTTTGATGCAATGCAAAGCTAGAACAATAACAATATACAAAACTATTTCTTTTTATCTTAGAATGTGTAAGTCTAGGGCTTTGTGAGAACACATTTATCCTGAGTCATTTTCTTGCTTGCAGCATCAGAGGTAGCATCTATAGAAGGAGAAACTAAAAGTTGAACTGAGACCAATGTTTCTGAAGTACCTGTAACTAAAATCTATCTTATTTCTTCAGTACTGGCAAATACAAACTATTTCTATGAGAGATATGTTAGTAAAGACAGTAACAAAGAGTAGGAAATTAACAGTTAGACTGCAGTATGTTAGCACATTTGAGTACTTTTCCCCTCTTAACTCATACTTAAATCATCAGTACAATCCCATGAGGGGTGGTACAGTTTTTATTCTCATTTTACAGATATGGAAACTAAGGCTTGGAGGGGAGAGTAAGTTGCCCAAGGTGACCTTGCCAGTAAGTGGCTAGCTACTTATGGTTCCAGAGCTTCTCTTCTTTACAAGTATTCAGTGCCGCTTCTCAAATAGTATGAGATTGGTATGATAAATGAACTATAGGAAATTTGAGTAGTATGATAAATGGAACACAGGAAACTCATTGGGGAGAATCAGAAATAGGTTATTGTTCTTTCTACTATAAAAATTACCCTGGTCTGGAAAAAGTATGTAAAATTGAATTTTAAAAAATTTGTGGGATATAACATCTAAAATTGGGAAATGGCCTTAGGTGCTGTTTTTACAACCTCTATTTTCATGTTTTGACTTCTTTAATTTTTTATTTCCCCCACCATTTCTCGTCTTATTTTTTATCTGGTTTCTTTATATAGAGACATTTTTTTTCCCTTTACAGTTTGAATTTGTTTTTCTCTGCGTTTTTAAAGGTTCTATAATTCCTTAGCTTCCTTATCATGACTGTTTCATGTTTTCTTTGTTGTAGGGTTTTCGTACATTTGTCGTTTGGATATTATTTTTTCCCAGATTTTGAATATTCTTAATTTGTTTCTTTGGTATTGGTTTAATCTTGGACTTAACAGAAAACTTGAAAAAATTAGAAGCTGGTCTCTGTCCACATGGGATAGGAATTATAACAGAATTATATTTGAAGATTTAAGATGCTGAGGAGAAAATTGAAGTTTAAAAACTGGATGGCCTTTTCATGCCAGCCAGACTCGGGACTGTGAAATAAATCTGTTTTAGGGCAGAAGCACTGGATATGTGCTTTCTTTTTATTTCTTGTTTTTTCTATACATAAATGGTTCCTGCTGAATGTGATATGACATGACACTGGAAAATTATTTTACTATCTAATGTGCTCTAAGGTGATGATATTCTGAGAAAATTTTTTAAAAATCTAAAGCTTATCTTTCTAGGAATACAGAGATATGGTACTACAGTTTTTCTAAACTTTTATTAAAATAATGGAGTTTTTCTTTATTGTGAAACAAAAAATAAGAATATCACATTTGTTATAATATAAATAACCTTTTCTTTTTTAAAAAAAATTCACAGGTAGAAAAAATAATTGGCCACCTCTTCCTAGCAATTTTCCTGTTGGACCTTGTTTCTATCAGGATTTTTCTGTAGACATTCCTGTAGAATTCCAAAAGACAGTAAAGCTTATGTACTACTTGTGGATGTGTGAGTATACAACAATTTATATCTTTGCTTAGAATTTATATTTTTATTGTCGAAATCCACTTTTTATTTCAAGGATAATATAGCAAACCAGTCTTCTTTTTCTGTAGATAAAGCTTAATAATCACGATTTCAGAGTGAAACATATCATATTTAGGTACTTCAGAATTGTACTATATGTGACAATGTAAGTCCTTGGCTGAGAAAAACCTGTATATTGAGAACTGGCATTCTTTTGAGGAAAATACAACTTCTCTGTCATGTGGGTAAAATTTTGTAAGTTCTTTTTCCTTGAAAGATGTTATCTAGGCATGATTTGCTTGGAAAAAATAATTTATACTAATCTTATGCAGAGGAAAGTCATTTAAAAGAGTTCTGTTAAATATAGGTGTTACAGCTATTTTTAAAAAGGCATAAATTACATAAACTAATTGTTCTTTTTATAGCTTTGAGTACAGTTTACTTTTTGTTTTCATTTGCGATACTTTTATTATTGAAAAAGCTTAATTAATATGGGACATTTTGTTGAACAAAATTAGAATATACATTTGGGGCTCTGATGCACACATCACTTTGAGTATAATAACTCATGGAATACTAAAACAAAATGTCAAGCGGTTAACAGTTTTACTGTGTGTGCACAGACCTCCCACTTACTCTCAGTTTCATTTTTATTCCAAACAGTAGTCTCAGCCTCATTTTGATATCATGTCAGAAGGGGAGGTAGCTATTGAGGGTTCTCACATGCACAACATCTGGGTTAATGGATAATTTGTAGTGTACATTCTTGATGGAGAATTTGTTTTTACTTTATGATTAATGAGACTACCGCCCCTACCTTAATGGATGAGATAATTTTCCTCCAAATCTTTTAGGAGCATTCTTCATGTATGTCAAGTTGTTTTGGAATATGAGAAGTGATTCCTAATGGATAGTCTATTTTTAACTCTTCGTTTTTAGTATTTTTTGAGATATTCTTGATCTAATATCTTTTGCTGAATCCTCAGTGTCAGTAGTATATATTTTTAATATTAAATGATTCCGTGTATTATGTACATGCTGACCAACTCTTATTTAATCAGTATAATATAGGCATTTATATTTTATATATGTTTATTTTTTAAAATGGGCAGAAATTGTCCTAGCATTTTATTTATTTATTTATTTATTTTGAGACAGTCTTGCTCTGTCACCTAGGCTGGAGTGCAATTGCACCATCTTGGCTCACTGCAACCTCTGCCTCCTGGGTTCAGGTGATTCTCGTGCGGAGCTGGGACTACAGGCACATGCCACCATGCCTGGCCAATTTTTGTGTTTTTAGTAGAGATGGGTGTCACCATGTTGCCCAGGCTGGTCTCAAACTCCTGGCCTCAAGCAGCGCGCCCACCTTGGCCTCCCAAAATGCTGGGATTACGGGCATGAGCCACCATATCCAGCCAGCCTAGTATTTTACATGTATGTTCTTTGACCTAGTGAAAAAAATATAAAAATATATTTTTTGAGATGGGGTCTTGCTGTGTTGCCCAGGCTGGACTTGAACTCCTGGCTCAAGGGATACTCCTACTCCAGTCTCCTGAGTAGCTAGAACTAGGAAAATATTTTTTGGTGGAGGAAATGGGTGTTGGAAGAAAATTATACAAGGAATTTAGTAAATAGAGATTAAATGGGAGAGATGGTTAATTTTAACTAAATGATTAATTATCAATGCCGATTGTTTCAGAATAGATCTGTTTTGTCTTAGAAATATATCACCTTCTGAGTGTCACAGAAATACGTAGTTGACTGTATTTTTCTCCAGCCTTGTTCAGTTGGCATGTCTGTCAACTGTATTCAAAGGGCTTACGATTCTAGTTAGGGTTCTGTTTTGAAGAAGCAGATTCCCTGGAACAAAGTAAGATCTATTACCAGCTTAGTAATGTGCCTACATTTTATAGAATATTGCCTGTTTTAATAAATTATTTTTAGAACATATTAACCTCTTGATTTGGGGGTTGACTAATGCTTTCACACTGTAATAATAATTACAATGAGAGCTAATATTTATTGAGGATTTACTTTGTGTCAGGCACAGTGCTAATCACTTTATATATATTATCTTACTATATTAAATCCTAACCACACCTCGAAGGAAGTACTATATTATTTGGTTTTATAGATAGGAAAACTAAAGCTTAGAGAATTTGAGTAACTTGTTCAACATTACATAAATAAGGAAGGAGGTGTATAGCTTGACTGTAGAGCTCAGAGTCTAGATTTCCAGCTTCTGCCACTTACAAAGAACAAAGAACCAAAATGAAGAGGTAATTTACATTTTAAGCTGAATGTGAAGAAGATATGCTTTCAAAGTTACTTTATTTGAAGCAAATAATTTAAACTATAAATGAACTGAAGCAAATAGAAATATTGTGAAATGAATTTCCACCTCTTTGAGTGTACTCTTGAATTAAAAAGGAAAAATAAAAACAAGCCATCTACATTAAAGACCATTTGGTGAAGATAATATACTGTTATAAAGCTATTTACGTTAGGCATCTATATTGTAATTCAGAACTTACCAAGAAGAATATTATAATGTTGCAAATTTAGATCAACTAATACCAGATTTGAGTGCTTAATGAAGCAAACTGAAATTTTATGTGAAGGAGAGTTGTTCAACTTGTAAATCACATAAACAAAATGGCCCAAAGATTTCTTTAGTGTTCTGCCTACTCTTGGAGTCTACCAGCATTGATTCATCACTCACTCAAATTGGATTGAAATTAGCAGTATAGAAACATATATTTTACATTTACCTTACCTTTCTATATGTTTTTTGAACTCTGCAAAAGTGGACAGATTGTTCAGTAATTAGCCTTGGACATTTTAGTCTTTGTTGGGATATAAGTAAATGATTTATTTATCATGTTTCATAGAAAACATTTAGAAAAACATTTTTATTACACAAAATTAGATTGATATTTTCATCTATACTTGGAAGAATTTTCATGAACTTTAAAGCATAATTATACATATATTTTATCTTTCTTTCAGTGGATTAGGAAATAACCTAATTTGAAAATTAACATTTAGTTAGAATGTTCTTCAGGTCTAAAACTTTTTAAGGCAGCTGGATGCTATTTAATGCTGCCTAGTAATAATTTTCTATTTTATAATCTTTTCAATTCTGTTTTTAAGATCTTAACCACCCTTATTTTGAGGCCAAGGGTTTTGAGTAAATTTATTATGAGCAAACATTCCTGAGAGTTAAAAATTCTAATGGGACTAGAGTAATGAGTGAGAGTGTCTCTTTTGTGATAGAATTGAATGGAATTTTAAAGTTAGAAAAGCTGAAAAATTGAAGCTTACAGAGGTTAAACGATTGGCTTAATCTAAGAGCTTTTTTTTTTTTTTAAGCTCTAGAGCTTGTTTACCTATCTGGTGGGTTAGGTAAGAGCAAATTTAGGCATCCCAGAATGTGTGTATATCTGTTTTATTAATTTATTTGATTTGTAAAGAAATCTTAAAGTTTGAGATTTAAAAAAACTAGATCCAATACGTTTTCCCAATTGTTAATTGTAATTCAAGAGTTGGCGTATTTTTGTTGATTTGATAATTAACATCTAACATTCTTTTAACTTATGTAAGAATGTACTTACTATAATAAGTTCAGCCTGTGAATAAATTTTTTAAAAATCCTTTGAAACAGTTATTAATTACAGTGGGTCAAAGTAGTTCTTTAGGATCATGGTATAATTAGGTGTTACTCAGATTTTTTTGTTTTTGGTCTGTCAGGGAAAGTAATTATTAACAGCATATGATGAATTTGTCAACATCTATTTGTGTTAACCAAAAGAAAAGCCTGCCACAGTAACTAAAATGCATCATGTAGTGTGGGGGAATGAAGAGGGGACTTAGTAAATTTAATCCTCTACCAAAACGCAAGTTTCTTTTCAGGATTTTACAAATGGACAGCTCTATGAAGATGAATGAATAATCGTTATGCATTGACTATACAGTCACTAGAAATTGCTACTGTATTAGTATTTTTAGTCCAGTTTTTAGTCTGCAGCGCCATTCTGTAAAGATACAGTTTTTCCTCCTAAGTCCTGCGTCTTTTCCTGGCAGGCACTGCGTTTTTTCTTGGGCTTCAGATCAAGAGACATCGTATGTTTCCTTTTTGGGAAGAAGCCCTTAAGGTAGTGTGCCTCTGGTTTAGCTACGTCATTGTGAGGAGGCGAGGGCCAACGGAATTTTTGCCAAACATTACATGTATTAAGACTTGCTTTCCTGTGTATACTCTGTTTTCAAATCAAATACATAAGATATAGCAGTGTTTTGAAAAATATAAATGGAAACATGGGGTAGAAGACATTTGCTCTTAGGAAGTATTTTTTTATTTACAGTTTTTTGTTGGATGAGTTCATAAATTGAATGTAAACATTTCTTTTTCTATTTTGTTTTCTGATTCCACAGTCCATGCAGTAACACTGTTTCTAAATATCTTCGGATGCTTGGCTTGGTTTTGTGTTGATTCTGCAAGAGCGGTTGATTTTGGATTGAGTATCCTGTGGTTCTTGCTTTTTACTCCTTGTTCATTCGTCTGTTGGTACAGACCACTTTATGGAGCTTTCAGGTAAAATGTGTGTACTTTAAAATACACTCTTTAAAACCTGTGAAGTAAATAATTCGTAGTACACGTTAAAGGGAAAATTGACGCATTTTCATTAAAAAATTCTTGTATTGTTGTATAACATACATTCAGGAAAGTTCAATATAGCATGCCTGTGTATTTATTGGATTTTGTAAGTCATAAAATTCCATTTTTTTCTGCCATTTGACAAAAAGACCAAACATGAAAATTGATGGAAAAATAAGAACGGTCTTAGAAGTCAGTATTTGTAAAATATTCTCTTCCATATGTTATACTTTAAGGAAAATTTTGCTCTTTGCCCACCCCACCCCCACCTTCAAAATCCCAATTGGTGCTTACAGTTTTAATTTTTAAATTAACCTAGGAAAGGTAAATATACATGCAATATTTAAAACGAGCCATTTGTACCTAACAAATTGGATTATTTTCTTTATAGATTCATTTTAGGTTTTTTCAAAGGCAGCAACATTTCGAAGACCATTTATGCTACTAGGTTAAGTATGATGCTTTACATAGTATATTTTAATCAGTGGTTAGGGTTAACATTTCCTAAGTGCATGTTCTATGGGATATTAATAGGTGCTGGGAAAAAAAAGAGCTCATAATTAAGCTTAGTAAATTTGGAAACAGCTGGATAATATGGTTAAGCAAGTGTCTTCATTTCAGGATTTCTTACACTCTTTAAGTACCTAGTATGATTTGTGCTTTGTGACTTGACCATGCAACCATTATTTGTTGAACTCTTGCTTTAAGAAGTATTGGGAAATACTAATGGAAATGATAGTCCTATAAGGGTTCATATATTTAATAGTTTTTTAACTCATTTTTATTTGAGTAAACTCATTTGTGAATAACAAACCCTTTCAACTCTCATGAATAAGGAGTAACATTACTAGGATATATGCTTGTGTTGTTTAAAGATACATTAGGGAAATTAGAGGGCCACATTTAAGTGTTCAATATATTTTTCCATTGCAACCTAAAATCTCTTTAGTTAACCAGAATGTGTAACACACACACACACACAAACACACACACACAAACACACACACACACACACACACACACACACACACAGTTAGAAACCCAGATCTGTAAACAGATGGGGGAAAACCAGAAGAGAACAGGAGATGGGAGAACATTAGGGAATTTGGAGAGAAAAGGTGTCAGACAATGAAGAAGTAAATTATTACTTAGATATGGCATAAAGAGAAGAAATGATGAGAGGAGGAGTGAAGGGAAGAAATGGGAGAAGGGAAAGGAGAAAAGAACCTTTGGATACATTAAAATATGGGAGATTGGTTGCCAAGGAACAGAAAGAGCTTCTCCTGTAGACATGGGTTGCAGAGGAATGAAAGGGACGTATTTACTCCTTGCATGATCTGAGTCATTGCTGTTATTTTCTTCATTATCTAAGCGTGGCTCACAAGGCTTTTTCTATTTATTTTTGACGTCTAACCTCTGCCTAATGACCTCCATCACATTACCAATATGTTACCGATCTGTGATGATGCTGGCTGGTAGGAGTGAGGATATCTTTATGAAACTTTTTTTAAAAAGTGACCTGAGACTAGGGAATTTGGATTTTAAACCTTCTGTGATTTATGTAGCCAAAATAAATGACTAAAAGCCAACTTTCTGCCTTTTATTTCCTGAAGTCACTTGGTATTTTTTGTTTTCCCCCATTTTGGCAGTTGAAATAAAAATACTCGATTGAACATTTTTACTTCTGGCATTATTGATCCCTAGGCTGAGTTCTTGTTGCATCTCAGTCTTTTAGAGTATATAAATATATATTAATAATCTGGTTTTCACTGTGCAGAGTAGAACTGAGAGGAATACTTTTTTTTTTTTTTTTTTTTTTTTTTTTTTTTTTTGAGACGGAGTTTCGCTCTTGTTGCCCAGGCTGGAGTGCAGTGGCTTGACCTCGGCTCACTGCAACCTTTGCCTCCTGGGTTCAAGCAGTTCTCCTGCCTCAGCCTCCCAGGTAGCTGGGATTACAGGCGTGCACCACCATGCCTGGCTAATTTTGTAATTTTAGTAGAGTCGGGGTTTAACCTTTTTGGTCAGGCTGGTCTTGAACTCCTGACCTCAGGTGATCCGCCCACCTCGGCCTCCACCCACATCAGCCCCTGCAAAGTGCTGGGATTACCGACATGAGCCACTGTGCCCAACCCCGAGCGGAATACTTTTTGTGGGGAAAGATGAATTAAAGTATTTATAATCATTAATATACCTTCCTGTTATGTATCTCTGGCATTTCCTTATATCGATATATTTACAGGACTTTGTTCTCCATAAAGTAATCTCATTGTAAAAATCTGAAGGAAAATTATATAGTGAAATTTCAAATGTATGTGTTTTTTAAAGTTAAGTTTATTAGGTATCAGGACATGAAGTTGTCATTTTGTTATTTATGTAGTTTACAAAATTGTAACTTGGGGCTGGGTGTGGTGGCTCATGTCTGTAATCCCAGCACTTTGGGAGGCAGAGGCTGGCGGATCACATGAGGTCAGGCGTTCGAGACCAGCCTGGCCAACATGGCGAAACCCCATCTCTACTAAAAATACAAAAAATTAGCTGAGTGTGATGGCATGTGCCTGTAATCCCAGCTTGAGGCAGGAGAATCCCAGGGAGGCAGAGGTTGCAGTGAGCCAAGATCATGCCACTGCACTCCAGCCTGGGCGACAGAATGAGATACTGTCTCAAAAAAAAAAAAAAAAAAAGAAAACAAAAAAAAAAAACCCCAACTTGGTCCTGAATTTTGTACTTCCACAAATCACTAGTCTTTGTGCAAATACATCAAAATACTAGGTAATTATTAACAAGGCAGCATTATTGTTGAATGTTGTTGAGTAACTATTAGAAACAGACTGAGAATGAATATTTGCATAGTGCTTGGTGATCCTGGCTTCCCCACTTAAAAAGCTGTGTGGTTCTGAGCACATGCAGTAAAACTCAGAGCCTCAGTTTGTTAGGTTTAAATGAGGGATGTTTGTAGAGTTGAAAGGAGGATTAGAGATAATGTATGCAAGTTTTGCATTATAGATGGTGAATAAATGGTAGTTGTAATTAATTTTTAACTTTTTTTGGACCCTCTTAGATTTTATCATTTACATTTTATGATCTATAAGTGAACTGTGATTTGTTATAGATTATATTTTATAGAGCCATTATTTGTAGCTTTGAAGACAATTTTCAAAATAGTACTTTCTCCCACTTTTTAATTATGATATATTTAACGCATACCAAAGAATACTTGAAACACAAGTTAAAAGGCATAATAATGAGTCATCTACGAACTGTGAGCCCACTGGTCAATTTAAAGAAATGAAACATTATCAATACTGCTGAAGCACTGGTATGTTTCCATTTCCCTGCTCCATAGGTAGTCATTAGGTTGAATTTTGATAATCTTTGTCATTCTCTAGCTATAATTTTAGTTTTATCATATGTGTTTGGACCCCCAAACCTTTTTTTAGCTTGTAGAGAATATTTTTAAAAGTATTTTAATATTTATAAAAGTGATACATCTTTGTATACAGGTTATTTTATATACAGTTTTAAGTAACTGTACAAAGATTTTTTTGGTAAAATAATGACCCCATTTTAATCATTTTCTACCAACAGTTCTTGCCCCTGACTTATGTGGGCATTTACCTTTATATTGTAAATAATGATCATATACTGCCATTCCTTGGTTTTGTTTAAGTAGCCTTATTAGGATATATTGTACATACTATAAAATTCATCCACTCTTATGGAAAAATTAAATGATTTCTTTTTTCTTTTTTTTTTTTTTTTTAACTTTAAGTTCTGGGATACATGTGCAGAACGTGCAGGTCTGTTACGTAGGTGTACATGTGCCATGGTGGTTTGCTGCACCTGTCAACCCATCATTTAGGTTTTAAGCCCCATGCACATTAGGTATTTGTCCTAATGCTCTCCCTCCCCTTGCCCCCCACCCCCTGACAGGCCCTAGTTTGTGATGTTCACCTCCCTGTGTCCATGTCTTCTCATTGTTCAACTCCCATTTACGAGTGAGAACATGAGGTGTTTGGTTTTTTGTTCCTGTGTTAGTCTGCTGAGAATGATGACTTCCAGCTTCATCCATGTCCCTGCGAAGGACATGAACTCATTTCTTTTTTACAGCTGCGTAGTATTCCATGGTATATATGTGCTACATTTTCTTTATCCAGTCTATCATTGATGGGCATTTGGGTTGGTTCCAAGTTTTTGCTGTTGTGAATAGTGCTGCAGTAAACATATGTTTGTATTTGTCTTTATGGCAGAATGATTTATATTCCTTTGGTTATATACCCAGTAATAGAATTGCTGGTCAAATGGTATTTCTCGTTCTAGATCCTTCAGGAATCACCACACTGTCTTCCACAATGGTTGAATTAATTTACACTCCCACCAACAGTGTTAAAGCGTTCCTATTTCTCCATAGCCTTGCCAGCATCTGTTGTTTCCTGACTTTTTAATAATTACCATTTTAACTGGCATGAGATAGATAGTATCTCATTGTGGTTTTAATTTGCATTTCTCTAATGACCAGTGATGATGGCTTTTTTTCATGTTGGCTGCATAAATTTATTTTGAGAAGTGTCTATTCATATCCTTCACCCAATTCAGTGATTTTTAAGTACATTAATCGAGTTGCACAGTCATTACTACAATCAGTTTTAGAACTTTTCCATCTTTCCCAAAATTTTCCTGGATTCATTTGCACACAATTCTCATTCCTTCCCCCTAGCTCCAGGAAACCACTGATCTGTTGCCTGTGTCTAAAAATTTCTCTTTTCTGAGCATTTCATGTAAATGGAATCATAGAACAGTCTTGCTGTTTTCTTTTACTTAATGTTTTTGAGGTTTATTTGGGCTGCAAAATGTGTTAGTAATTCATTTATTTTTAATTGTTAGTTTTCCATTGTATTGCTACATTACATTTTATTTATGCATTCACCAGTTAATGGACA